CGGATCTAAAATATTGAAAAGACTTTACGCCTACAAACCTTATTCTCTCCTCAAACTATCTTATTCGTTTGACATACATTATATACCCATGTATATATACCATTAATGTATAATTTTTAATGATTATGTGAATGGTCAGTGTTTAAACGTTTATGCTACCGTTTAACATTCCTAATCAAATAATTTGATGGCATACGATTACAAATAAATAAATAAACAAATTTTACGTTTTTGTAATAAGATTTAGGCAATAGTGATAATATTTTACGCGTTTGTAAAAGGGTATATCAAAATTTTACAAATCAATATCCCGCGCAGGGCGCGGAGTACTACACTAGTGTAATTATGTATATATGCATCTACATAATCATGATGATAATACTTTTTAATTCATTATTTTCTTTATAATATAACTAGGTAAAGGACCCGCATATATGCGGATTTATCGTAAAAAAATATTTTGCAACCTGTGAAAAATCAAACACGAAAAAAACAGAAAAATTAAATCACTGATGAAAGTAAATAAAATCGAAAACCTTGATATTAAATAAATTTAACACTTACTTTTTTATCTTGATTTTTTTGTCTAATTTGATTTTCAATTAAATTTGATACTTTTTTTAAAAATAATTATTTTCTTTCTATTCATGTTTGAAATAATTTAATTTTTTACTATTTTGCTACCCTATTTTTTCAAAATCTTGTTGAATTACTTTATCATAGTCTTATTTGAATTTTTTAATTTTATAACCTGTGAAAAAAATACAAAACATGAAATATAAAAAACCACTAATAGAAACGTCTCACCATTATTAAATTGTTTTGACTCTTTTTATTATATTATTTTCTTTTGAATTATTTTTTTACATATTTCCAAATAATTAGTTTCTTCTATTTCTTATTGAACTAGGTTTATTTTATTATCATATATTTATTTTTCCAAAACCTTAACGAATTGAATCTCATATTTTAAGCTGCAAACTAAAATTGCAAATTTCAATAAGATTTCTTTCACAAATTGATTCCCAAATTTTGCAAGAATCTAAATCATCTAGTGATGCAAAAAGCTTTAAATAGTATTTTTATGCAATAAAATAAAATAAAATTGGTAGTTAGATATTATTCAAATAATTAGTAATACGTTAAGACTCTTATTGATATAAAATAAAAATACGCTAACCTTTTCATCAATTAATATAAATTCATTCCTATAAGTGCATTATTTTCTTAATATTATTCTTCTCTTACTTTCTAATAAGACTTAATTCACTACGATGGTAAACACTTTTTGTATTTAAGTATAATTAGTAATACATTAATACTGTTATTGATATAAAATAAAAATATGCTGACTTTTTCATCAAGTAATGTAAAATTTATTCCTATAAGCTCATTATTTCTTTTAAAATATTTCGTCGCTCACTTTCTAATAAGACGTACTACAATACGATGATAAACACTTTTTTATTTAACTTGTCTAATGTTAAATAAATGATATATTTGATGATAATAATTTATATATTGTATTTATCAATTAGATTTTTTATTCTAAAGTAGAAAATCATGTAATTTTTCTCATGGGAATATTCTAATATAATGTAAAATCTTTTTAGTTTAAATAGACTTAGGTTTTTCATACACAATTTATCCAAATGTCAAAAGATTTATCTATTTTAGAATAATAATATCTTTATTTGTAAAATAGTAAAAAGTAAACCTATTTTAAATAGGATTAGAGAAATTTTGAAATATGTGATTTAATTTAATTAAAACAAAATAATACGTGTTAAAACCTAATTTAAATAGGATTAGGAAAATTTTGAAATAAGTGATTTAATTTAATTAAAAT